AATGGTTTAATACATGTATATTTAAGGATAATTTATTACCGTTGCATTATAATATTATCAAAAATGTGAAATCGTTGTAGAAATTGTCCCAAAATAAATGAATTAACAAATGATTAATGCAGTGATTTTTATACTGCTTTCAATATTGTCATGTACAATATTTATATTTCATTTTTCAATGTCGCTACGATTAATTAATGAAAGGACGGACTAGTTTCATTTTGAATTTTGAAAAACTAGCTAGCGCGCATTGTGACAACGCACTTTGAAAATTTTTCAAAGTGCGTTAAAATTGGGACAAAATCAAGGCACTTTGAAAAAAAGTTTTCAAAGTGCGTTTAATTTGGGACACACTCAACGCACTTTGAAAAAAAATTTCAAAGTGCGTTGAGTGTGTACATAAACATTTTTTACTATGGGGACATTTAACGCGCTTTGAAAAAAAGATATGCATAAAACAAAAAATTGTAGACTATTCTACATTTTATTAATTAAGAGAATCAATTTGTTATAATTATATCTTTCGAAAACTTTTTGATTTACATGTACTCATTTAACCTCATTGAGAACAAGGAAAAGACGAGTAGAAGGTCTCTCAGCCCAACTCTTTTTTTTTCTTATACACTATACATAGCAGTCGGTAGCGAATTGAAAGTGGATACCCCCCCCCCCCCCAACATAAGTCCCAATTTCAATGCCTATATTATGTCTTTGCTAAACATTGTGTTACTACCTCCCCCCCCCCCCCCCCCTGCGGGTACAGATGCCTATGCTACACCCAAATATATGTATATGCATAACTGGTATGACGTTGAAAACTTTCAATAAATTTTAGTTTACATATAAAATGTATGCAAACTGAAAAAAAATTAAGTACAGTAAAACATTTAACAGAGAAAGAATTTTCAAAGTATGGAAAAATAAAAATCGCTCACTTTCACATCCTGAAGTGACCTCATCACCGAAGAGTTATGAAACAGGGTCAATTATTTATCATACCCAAGATTTGCAAGAATATTGCCCAAATCATACATATTTTTTCAAAGTGCGTTAATATGGTCGATATTAACGCACTTTGAAAAGAAATTTTATTTTTTCAAAGTGCGTTGATTTGGTCCCAAAGAACTATATGCGGTATTAACCAACATTTGCCCCCCAAAATCAAACTTTGATGGAGTAATATTTAATTAAGTCCTTAAACAGGGGAGTATATGCTGACTTCAAAGCACTGAATAATTTCATAAGTAATGACGTCATATGTACGTAATGACGTCACAAATATGACGTAAATTTCAGTTTTTTATGAATTTTGCAGAAAAATGTACATATTTCGTCGATATTTTAAATAAAAGTCACCGAGCGCATGTGTGTTCAGGATTAATATTTTGATATAATGTGTAGAATGATAATATCAATGAAATATGTCAATATTGTTCCTGAACACACATGCGCTCTATAAATTCTAAAGCTTAAATTGTTGAAATTTTGTCCATTTTGTCCTCTTTCTGAAAAAGGATATAAAATCGGACTAGTTTGTGACGTGATAAAAACAGAAATTGTGAATACACTGCTCTGGAACTATAATATTTTCTGTTAACTTATATTTCTCGTACAATTTATTGAATTCAGCACATTTCAGGAAGTTTTCAAAATTTGACTTTTGTGGGGGCAAACATATGCAATATACCGCATATAGTTCTTTTTCAAAGTGCGTTGTAACAGCGCATCATAGAATAAACCATCCGAGCAAATGCTATTCAAAACTCATATTCACTTAATAACCTTGTTTATTATATATTTGTTATATAATACAGGGTTTTTTGAATCCCTGATATGAACACAGACACGCGCCCTGTATTATACACCCCGTATCAACACCCATTATTTCACCCTTTCTCACACCCTTTATCACACCTTTCCGGAACATCTCTGTACTTTTCATACGGAGTATCTCGGATGTTTTTACTATCATATTCAATATGTTGTTTTCATTTGATCACACAAGGAGCCTTATAACTGACGTCACATAAACATAAAACGACGTCACAATGTAAACCATTTTCAAATATTTGCATTCTGAACCTGCAGTCTGCAATTTCGTTGATAGGACTATAGACACTTGGGTGTTTTACATTCAAAAAATGCAAAATGTCTGTACTGAATCTATTTCAAGAACGATATCAGCTCTTAAATATAAATTAAAGAACTTGAAAAATTATAGAAAAATACATTCTTGAGTAATAATTATTATTAAAGCATTCTCTTTTCATCATAGTTTTATATTATCGCTTTTTCTCAGAGAGTTTTAATAACTTTGAACGATGGCATCACAACTGAATCAAAACAAAATTCTAATGCAATTTTTTGTAAAACACGTTTTGATTGACTAAAGCACTGTCGTTTGAAGCAGTAAAACGAGCATTAACGAGAATGAAAGCTTTTCATTGTGACGTCATAATAGAGCTACGCAAAAACATAATGCTCCATGACGTATTTCATATAACGAAACTCAACAAAATAAGACGCAAACAACAAACAAAATGCATGTGATTGTCTACCTACTGGATTTCCAAACTTCGATATATGCCAATGAATTTAAAATTAAAGAAAGTACAGAGTCTGCCAGATCTGTTTTTTTTATTTAAATGTTGTACTGTTTATAAATTGATAAGGGCTTACTAGCCTTACGGCTTAAGGTTTTTCCACCCTCATAATTTTAATGGTTCAAAGTACAAAAACAGCAATTATTTTCATTTAATATAGTTTAAATTTTTCATTTATTGCAAAAAAGGATAGGTTGCCATATTATTTAGGATAGGAGACATAAATAAACAGAAGTGTATGTCAACATTAAAAAAATGTACATTTTTTGTAAACATTATGGTAAAAATTATGTAAAAACTGGTTCAATTGCATAATTCTGTTGTAGTCAGTATTGTATAGTAAATAAGTGTTTTTAAATAGTGTAAGTAATATTTATTTCAGGTTTAAACTGTTGACATTAATAAAAATTATGATCGAATTATTTGTGTTCTTGTTATTAATATTATCTGGTAAGTTTTATAAGATTTGCATTTATTTAAAGAATAAGTTATTTATAGCTACAGACGACCTCGGACTGTATGACCTTAAATTTTATGGTTGATTGCACCGCAGGTATTTCGATTAGGTTACCTGGTTTGGCGGGTTTTCACTTTCCCGGTGGCACAAGTTCGTGCTACATATATACGTAGTTGCCAGGGCAGGGTCAGCTATAACTTTGAAATATTTGATTTACCTATTAATATCTACTGGAATTTGAAGGTAATTATTCTTTTAGTTTAATGTAGGTGTATTTTCTAAAAGTATTTTTTTACGTAATTTTGTCATTTTCATTACTTAAAAGTTTAAGAGCTAGCGTAATTGTATTGTGTGCACACTGAGTTAATTGATTAATTGTACTCAGATAATTTTAGTATGTTTTTAAGTATTTATCATTTATTAAAGATTTCAAGAGATTCATGTGAGAAAGTAAATTTTTGTGGTTCTGAACAAATTAAAATCTAACGTAAACTAAACAGACCCTACGTTTTATGTAATACTGCCTACTATTGCCATAATGGCTATACCCAAGTGTATATGGTAACAAACCTTTACACCTCATGTGGGGTAAGATTGATTGTGTGTATTTGTTTAATTTGTCTTTATGTATGTTCTGCATGTTTCATATTATAGACGTACTATTTTCTTTTATGTTTGTTTTATTTGCATTTTGTTTCGTTTCATTTCGTTTGTTGAGAAATTGTATATTATTCATTATCTATTTTATCAAAGATTACCAGAAATAACTATTTTTCACAATTAAGAAGTTAAATGATTTTATAATGGATAATTGTAAACAGCAGCAAGTGAATTGTAAAGTGATTCATGGTTAAAGATTACAGTATAAGTATTGCATTTTATTTTGTTATTAATTTGACTATTTTATTCACAGGGTTTTCATGTACCATTTAGATCAATAAACCTATCCTCATCCAAAATACGGACTCATTCATTTCATCTATACCGGATACCCGGTTACAATTCTGATGCTGAAAGTTCAGAAATACATGCTACTTCTGAGATACTTTTGAATTGTGAATACCAGGGAAACTATTTACATAAGAAGTACAATAAAGGAAATGCCTGAGAAGGAGTTATTGCCCTTGTCAACATTTTTAAAAGATTGAATATTTGTTTAAAAAAAAGAAAATAAGCATTTTAAAAATTCTTTTACTTAACAATATTTATCATTACATCTATTGAAAATCATTCTTATAAAAATTATTGTATTACTTGGCATGAATTTAAATTAATAACAATTTCTGCAAAAACCTATGACATCATCAGAGGATGGAAATACCTTAATTGTATGATAAACAAGATGCCTACAGTTTTTCAATCGTCAACATTTCGTAATGAACTATATGGAGATAACAAATAGTATTAAAGCTCAAAAGTCCCAAAAAAAATACAAAAAAGGAGCGGAGCAAACACGGACCTCCAAAACATCAGAGGTGGGATCAAATCTATTTATTTTTAACGACACTAGTGATTTATTCAGAATGGCATATTGAAATGCACTTTCGAAAACGTGAAATATCTGTCATCCTCCTAAACTGTTAATTCCCTGAGAACTTTTTATTAACGATACTTTTACCAAGATATATTGACCTTCATATCAATTTAAATAACGACTTTTAAAAAAGTGATTGATCCATAAATAAGAACTATGTATTTTTTGTTCCTTTGAGTTAGACTTTAAATATAATGGTCTGAATTATATGCATATTTTAAAATTTCTCTTTTTGACAGAATATTTAAGTACCTGTGCTTCCTAGTCCTGCTCTTTGTTGCCCCAAGTGATGCCTTCTATGGTAAAGGATACAGTAAAAGCATTGTTATCCTCGGTGGAAAAGGATTAGGTTGGGGAGGATATGGAGTCCTTGGGGGTTTTAGATGGGGAGGAAAATGATATGGAGGCTTAGGATGGGGAGGATATGGCGGATATGGTGGCTTTGGAGGATATGGTGGATATGGCAGATATGGAGGTAAAGGATGGGGAGGTCTTGGTGGATATTGAGGATATGGCGGCTATGGAGGATACGGCGGATATGGAGGATTAGGCTGGGGGAAAGGATACGGGGAGGATACGGGGGCTTTGGAATTGGATTAGGAGGCTTCGGTGGAAAAGGTTATGGACGTGGAAAGGTAATCATAATTTGTTTGTAATAAGTCTATTTTATTGTGAATTATTTTTCGAATTTTTAAACTATTAATATTTCTCGAATTTTAACAAAAATTTAATTTTTTTTTCAGGGCTACTATTAAAATTGATGGATTATTATATTTTGATATTGTTGCAAATTTTTTAAAATAAATGA